GTTGACATGTAACAGATTTGATGTTTGAGGATATTAAGAAGGCAGATGTGCATTTAGCTGTAGGCTGTATGTTTTTTCATGCCTTAACTCATACTTTGCTGTCACTTTCAAAAGAGCAACAGTGATTGGAGGTTGGATACATCAATTTATGTACTGTAGATCTACATGCACCAACCAGTATTTGTTGTCCTGCATTTGAAGGATACATTGATATTCTTGTTGTTTAACAACAATGATATTCTCTTTTTGTCCAGGATGTGCAGGGAATCAGAGAATATGGAATGGATAAGCTCGTCCAGATTGCAGCAACCCAGCTTAGTGACCAGCTTCCCGAATCAAGGGAGGCTGCTCGCAACCTGGCACTGGAACTACAAGCATTCTATGAGAGGTCTCAGGCCTTAACCTCTGACAAAAATGAGGGCGAACCTTCTGTCTCACAAGATGCTGAATCATGGGAGGCTTTCTGCCAGTCCAAGCTTTCTGCCTTGAGCGCCCAAGCCATCCTTCGTGTGACCTCTACTACTCCAAAGAGGGCGTTGCCTCTACTACAAATACTACAAAAGAGGGTGTCACCTCCGCCCCAAAAGAAGGTTTGGCTGTGGATTGCTAGCATATAAGCCACAAGGAGTTTGTAGATGCAACGAGAGTGCGATTGTCCACCCCTTCACTTTTTTGCTGTACATGCTTATGGCTGGTCCTTTGATACATCCAGTTGGGAATCTGTTGATTATTGGTTCAGGAATTCAGGTGTGACCGCGGTGTTAATATTGGTGCGACATATATCTGTTATAGTTGATTGTATAATCATTTTGTTCCTCTACTTGGTACTGATTGGTCAGGTGAATGTAAAATTTCCTCCACGGTTCAATGTTATATACAGTCCTTTTGCTGCCGCATTGGGTGCAGCTTCTCTATGTTATTTTGAAAGAAATGTCATTGGCATTCTTGTGCCGCTCTTATGCTGTGGAACTTTATGTTCATTCCGGTATTTACAGCATGTCTCAGCTTTCACTGTGGTATCAAAATGTCAAACCACTGGTTTTGTGTTGTCGCCAGCCAACATACTCCGTTACAAGACACTGACAGTACGATTCCAGTGCTTGGTGGTGGTTGATGGCTTGACTTGACATGGTTCTTGCCCGTATAGGGCCAGAGCATTTTGCTGCCTGAAGTTCCGTCGCATTCCGGGCTGTCTGATGCCAATAGGTGCTTAATAACCCAGTAAATGCAGCGCTACTGCCGGCAAACTCGTTTGTTTACGAAAGCGGGATATTCAGGTCAAGAATGGTTCAATTTGCTGCACTAGATACGTTTCGTGTGTACACTGATCATTTGAGGTCATCTGCACGAAAAGTATTCCATTGAAAAGCTTCGTACTCAGCCAATAAAAAAAAAGGTTTGGACTTCACAGTAGCATTTACTCCTTGGAAGACAAAAACAAAATACATTGGCAGCATTTCAAATGACAAAAAAAAGATATTTACACAGCCACACAGGAACATCTAATTTCAGTTGGACCTTATTTCTTTATCGAAACCATAATTGGTAGGAACCAATGGAGCTAAACTAAAGACCCTCGAAACACAGTTAAGAGTTCAGAATGCTCGTCATATAACTGAGAAAAATTCTCTTGGTCTTGTGTTGTCGCCAACATACTAATCAAGTACTGAAAACCTATTTCTATCACATTAGCGAACACTATAAATTTCTCTTCGTTGTTCTGCAGCTTGTTGCAAAGCGACATCCATGTGATTCGACTCCTATATTGTCCTAGTACTGTAGTTTGAAAAAAATGAAATTGGCTTCCACAACTAAGGCCCTGTTTGGTTGGGCTTTTGGCTTTGCCTTTTAGCCCCAAAAGCCAAAAGCCCAACCAAAGGGGCTGTTTTTGGAGGGTGCTTTTTCAGAAGCAACTGCTTTTCCGTAGTTTATTTTTGAAAGCTGGTTTGACCCTGCTTTTGGCTTTTGGCTTTCTGCTTTTCGAAATTGGTGGAATAAAAAGCTCTTCCATAGTTGTTTCAAGAGAGATAAAGATAAAAGGTATATTTTATACTTATTTAACCAAACAGCTTTCAGCTTTTCTACAGCTCACAGTCCACAGCAGCTTTTCCACAGCTCACAGCCCACAGCAGCTTTCTCCCACAGCCACAGCTCAACCAAACAGGGCCTAAGAAGTAAACTGAATGAAGGAACGCCTTCTCATTTACTTTTGAAACACATTCCTGTGCCTTAGCAAGAAAGAGGGCTTCTGCTATGCTAGGATAGATATGTGTATTATTATAGTGTGTGCTGGTATTATACTTGACAGGTGTAGGCGTGGGTACAAAATTCCAAACATACAAAGAAGTTTATCTATTCTACCAGTGATAATCTAACTTGTTGGTATGGTTATCCGGGCCAAATCAATAGCGTACCCAAGTTATCCGGCCCAAATCAACAGCCCATCCTGTTTTGCCTGGCCATGCCACCTGACTGACTTACCTGAGTGGGCTAAGGATTCAGGGCACCAGCACATGGGCCGTCTTTGTAGTAGTACAGTACTCGTGCCAAGATCACAAGATGGGCATGGATGGTCGACCTGACCGTTCGCGGCAGAATGTAGCGAATCATTGAGCCCAACGTGTAGTGTACACTACTCCTGGCATGTGTAGACGGCTTTCTCTTTTTTTTTTCCGCCTTCGATTCGAAGGGGGCGTGTGTTTACGTACGTGAGCTTTAGACTGGAAATCCACGCATCTGAGTTGGAGGTCTTTCAGCTCAGCACATGTGCTTACCTAGATTGGATACGACGTGCTTGTCATTTTTTCTTGAAAGACCCAGATATATATCCGGCATTTGATTAATAATAATAAGAAGAGGTAGCAGGTACTCACCTGAAGCCTCAAGGGTCCAAGTGATTTTGATTATCCTCATTGTGTTCAGTAACAAGACTTGGTGATCAGCCAGATTTCATATATACGTACGTGAGTGTGAGTGGTGTTAATAAAGAGAATTAGAGAAGGGAAAAAAAAGTATTCGAGATCATGTACCACCTGCCTCGCCTGGATCAGTTCGTCGGAGATCGCACCCCGGAGTCCTGAGCTTTTGGATCTGGGAGCTAAGGCGCAGAGAACATGGCATGTACTCCTACATATGTGGCTCGTGCGAGCAGCGCTAGATAGATGTACGTGCGCTGCTCCACCCAACAAACTTGCCAGAAGACTGTTCGTTTGTCCGGACTGCGGTGGTGCCCGGCCGGACAGTTAACAAGGCCGCAGCGCAGCAGTACCAGCAGTCTAGCATGACCACCATGATGCGATAATCCCAAAGTTTTTTTTTTTGTTCCTCTTCTGTAGCACTGTGTGTTCGATCCATCATAATGGATGGTGACGATGATTGGGTCCGAAAGAGGACCCGAAAAGTTGCAGGCCCCCTTTCCGTTTGTGGCGACTGGCGAGCTATCCATCCGGCTACCTCCCAGTCCCAGCATGATAGGCGGCGCTGCACCAGCAGTCATGCCCCCGACCCCGGTGATGGTGCGGCGGGTGTCGACCCCAGCGCCGGAGAGGAGACGAGAGGGGTCCAAAGAATCCGAACCCTCGGCCTGCCCAGCCATGAGCAGCCACTCGACTCCCTCTCTCTTGTCGATCCGTCTCGACGACCGACCGACCATTGGGTAGCCCCAAGAAAGCACCAGGACCAGATCAAGTACCAGCCACGGGCCCTTTTCAGGCCTGCCAGCTGCTGGCTGTGGCAGTGTACTCGGAAAATGGATCGGGACAGGGACACGGTGACACGCACGCAGAGGCGGCGGCACTGCACGATAACGGTGACGAACATTCAACGGCACACAGAGTAGCAAGCAGACGGTCTCCAACCGTGGGGATCTAAAGACTAAAGGCATTTCATCCTTTACGTCGCGCACAGTTAATGGGTTAGGACCTAAAACATCACCCTTTCCAACGGACAACGCAAAAGATCTGTTGGTCGCGTCCTCCTCCGTGCGCTGCCTTCAGCCCGGCCACGTCCTCCTCCGTGCCGGGGTGCCGCTGCCTTCGGCCTCCCTCTCTTCTCCCTCTCCTCTCCCTCTATCTCCTCCCTCCGGCGGTGCGGGACCCCTCCTAGGCAGGTGAGCGAGGCGCGCAGCGGACGGTGGGGGCCGAATCCGTCTCGCCACGCCGCACCGGCCGCGCTCCGCCTTGCCGGCCGTGGGAGCAACCGCGGCCGCTGGCTCGAAGGAGTCGCCGTCGCCGTGGGGGAGAAGCAGCCCGCGGCGACCTTGCCGAGGCCGTCAGCGAGGAGCGAGGTGACGGCGTCGAGCCCCGTCGTCCTCGAGAAGGTCCAGCGTGACCTCGACCAGCTCCTCCCCGTCGTCGGAGCTCCGGTCAGAGCCGCACGGTGAGGAGCCCGTGCTCCCCCGACGTGTCGACGCCCGGTCACAGGTTTGGGTCACGCGTCTGGGAGAAGGCAAATTTGCCTCCCCTCTCTCCTTCCACCCAAAATGCGTGCCGGCTCTGCGTCGTCCGTTGGAGCCGGTTCTGAGAACGCAAATGCACTGTGGCGGACGCAATTTTGCGGTTGCATCGCGTTGTTGGAGACAGTCGCAGGGAAGAGCTGATAACAAATTCGGAAAAAAAAAAGGCACTAGTTGTAATCACAAGCACGCCACTGTACAGGCCACGCTTGAGGCAGCAAGCAGAGGTGGGGAAACGAAGCACGCAGGCACGGACTACAACTACACCAGATGACGAGAGAGGGGAGGGAAGAAGAAAAAAACTCGGAGGGCATACGACATGCGCGAGGCGGACCTAGCGGGCTCGCTCGATAGACCCGAGCTGTGAGCTCGGGAGGAGGGTGAGACGCGGCTGCGACGCGATGACGCGAGGTGGTTGCTTGGCTCGCTGGACGATGGATGGCTCGGAGTCGGAGCAGGCAGCAGGCTGCTGCCTTGGAGTTGGAGCTTGGGAACTCAGGCGGCGCCGGTGGGCCGGCTGGCTGGGGCAGGAGCTGGAGTCGTGGAGCTACTCGTCCGGCACTCGGTACGCGTCGGCGGTGATCTCGGTCAGCCACAGCCCCGGGAACAGCGACTGCACAAAGGAAAACGAACAGCACACACGATTGGTGTTAGCGGTTTTGGATTTGCAGGATTATTATACTCGCACACACACAACAATTATGGCTCCGTTCGTTGGTCTGAAACTTGACTGAAAAACACTGTTTCGGTTGGTTTATTACGAGAGAAAAATAGTGTTTAGCTGGTTTGGTAAATAGTAACTTAAGAGGGGATCAGCCGGCTGGCTGAAATTTTCAGAGCAGCGAACAACCCCTATGTCAGCTTACAATATTCATTTATATCACTACTAGTGATAAACAAGCTTAAAGCGTGTCGAGGGGATAAATAGAATCATAAAATAAGAGAGGAATTGAATAAACAGTAATTAATTAGAGTGGTTCGGAGGGGCAGTTCGGGGAAATCGCCTTACATCGACATGCCGCTGCACGGCGCGCGGCCGCTTCCGGGGCCGCCGCCGCGGCCGGGCGCCGGTCAGCGCGTAGATGTCCTCCTCGATCTCCTCCGCCGTCAGGGACACGGAGAACGGGGCGCGCTTGCGCCGCCTCCGCGACGACGACGACGACGGAGGAGGAGGCGGCGGGGACGGCGACGCGGCCCACGACCTGGCGGCGGCGGGGCGCCGCCGCGTGCGCTCCCGCAGGTCCCACGGCCTCGCGGTCGCGGCGGCGGCGGCAGCGTCCGCTTGCTGGGGTGAAGGAGGTGCGGGAGGAGGCGGAGGCGGTGGCGGTGGAGGGCGAGGAACAGGCGGCAGCGAGGCGGCGGTGCTCCTGCTAGGCTGGGGCGCGCGGAGCCGGTCCGCGGCGTCGCGCAGGTGGCCCATGAGCTTGGCACGGAGCGCCTCGATCCCACCGTCGTACGGCGTGTCGTCCCCGACGGCCTGAGCACGGCGGTGGGACGACGACGAGCGGCGCCGATGGCGGGCGCCACAGCCGCCACCGCCCGCGGCCGAGGGCAAGGCTACGACGGGCGGCATGCGTTGGGCGGCGGCTGGTGAGGCGGCCTGATGCGCCCACGGCTCGGCGAAGTGGTGCGGCGCCGCTGCCGGAGGCTTCGCCCGCGGATCTGCCGTGGCCGCCATGGCCGTCAACCCGGCTCGCGGCGGTGGCGGTTGGGTCGGGTCGGGTCAGCTGCGTGCGTCGCCGACGACGAGGCGGCGAGAGCGAGCGTGAGGTTGAGGGGTAGGAGTAGGAGGAGGCGAGAAGGTTTTGAGACCACAGGGGGGTGAGGTCGCTCTCTGGCTCGCGTTTTGTTACGGGAGCCAGGGTTGGTGTCGCGAGGGCAGCCTGGTAATTCTCCAGGCAGGACTCGCGGGTCGGAGGTTTCGGCCCTAGAGGACCCAACAACTGCCTCGGACGATGCCCGCGCAGCCTGTTGCCCACTGACTCGTGGGTCCGCCCCGTCGACCTTCCCCACGTGTCAGTTTCCGTCAGCGCGTGGCGCCCTGGTGACGTAGGGGCCGGCGACGGAAAGGTTATTGGACGGAGGCCAGTCTGTTGCGCGAGCGCGACCACCAGCGCCAGGCGGGAGGCGGAAGCCAGTGTCCGTGAGGGCGAGGGGGGCGGGGCCCACGCGGCAGGGAGCGGGAGCGGGAGCGTCCATGCACGGGTCCTCGTACGGTACGTGGTGGGACGCCTCGGATTTCTGGTGTGGGGCCTGTGGGTCAGGTGACGGCCCGCCCCTGAGTTCCTGGACCTGGTCTTTCGCCGGCGCAGCGGTGGACCGGCAGACGGCCGACTCGGGACTCGGGGAGAGATCCTACGCGGCTTCGCGCGGTCCCCACCGGCGGCCCGGCCCCCTCCGCACCCAAGCTCGTTTTCCGAGTTTCCAATCTGACTAAAATTTTAAAAAAAATGCTAACGTTTATGATATTAAATAAATATAATAAATTAATTACAGAATATATTTTCATAATTAATAACATATCTATTATAGATATAAATGTTTATATGATTCCATATAAACTTGTCAAACTTAGAAAATTTGACATGTTCTAAACCTAAAATTACCTGTGTTTTTTTTTACAGATTGAGTACTATACTAGAAAAGATGAAATAGTCTCGCTAACTAAAGCTGGTTTGGCACGTGAAGCATATATATACTATACTAATTTTGGTGATACTCGCATATGGAAAACGACAAAATGTAAAGGATTTCTCATGAATTTTACATAGCAACGTTTTGATTTTGTACCTGTACGAACAAGGTACAAGGTATATTACGTATATATACTCGCGTGGTCTATTGCTCTTGGCATCGTGTTGCCTGGTAAATGGATATTTGGCCTTCGTCGGCTTGAGAAAGTGAGGAAGGATGAGGAGGCGACCGATCATTTGATTTCTGTACGACGGCATGCTAATTTCCATTCCAAAATGAAATATCAAAAGTAGGCGTGGCGCTGTCGCGTTTCAGATCACAGAATATTACGACGACTGGTGCCTGGCCCACGTGAAAAGGTCAACCAATTCAACGGATACCGTTCGGGACTTTGCCTCTTTGATTAACTGATTTGACAATGGATTGGATTACTTGGGGGGCAACACGTGCAAGAAAAGGGGATAAGATTGTGGTATATATAAAAGCAGTTGTTGCTCGCTGCTAAAACAAGGTCGATTTACATGAGACGGGTGTGCAAGAATGTGAATTTCCAGTCGAACAGATTGGAAATTTTGTACCGGCAAAAAAAAAAAGATTGGAAAGTTTACATGTACGATGTTTTACACCGACATATTGGCCTATTTTGGAACGTGTGTGCAGAGAACACAGCGCCAATAATAAACAGAAACCGTTCGCTTGATTTGTTAACAACAACGCGCGCCGCGAACTCAGAATTAAGATTGGTAAATATAGGCACCTTTGAGTGTCGGTTCATCATTTAAAAAAGTCATATTGGCCTATTTAGGATCTTTAGGAACTATACTATGGTCTTTCAAAACTGAAATGCTTGTGGGAATTGTATATTGAGCACCGCAGCGCGGCACTAGGAGGATCATAGGTGATCACCAGCTACCAGCTAACTGAAGGGGAAAAAAATATATACTAGTACGACTAATAATCTCATGGCAAGCAGGATCTATTGTACATGGACAGGTAGGAGGATTATTCTGCTGTCCTCACGCCATGACAGGTAAGTAAGAGAAGGATATATAGTACTACTCGTCGTCTCGTCCAAGAGAACACATCCTGCCCAAAGGCCATAACAAAACAACGGAAACAGTATTATAATACAAACTGAAAATCATTGGCCAAATTGGGTCAGTGAAGGTGTGGGAGTTCTTCATAGTCATATCGGCTGTAGTGAGATGAGTTAAAAAAGAATTGGCAGGAAGCATTGTCATAAACAGCATTCAGAAGGAGCACTAGTAATTGCTTATTATCGTCCTGTTTGTTTGGGTTTGTTTGGCTAATAAGCCATGACCGAAAATACTGTTGGCTAATTTGGTGTGAGAGAAAAATATTGTTCGTTGACTGATAAGCCATAGCTTATAAGCCAAACACGATCAGGTGAACAGGCTCTATGTGCACCGCATAGCTGAATGCACAAATAAAATAAATACTGTTACAAACAAGGGCACACGTTGACTCATATATCAGTATCGAGTCCTCGGCTTTTTCACCACTTCTTCTGAAAGCACAGCGAGGGTGAGTGGAGATCAGTACGATACAGTTGGCATATCTGTTCAGTGTGTTTTTTAAAATAAAAAAAACTGTAGAAAGCATCCTAGAGCAGAGTAGAATTTTTAGGGTGGAACTGTGAAAAGATTGTGCTGTTGGAGAAGGATCGTTCTGATTCTGGCATTGTTTAAGGGGTCGCTTTCAGCAATGACTGCTGACAGAACAAACATTCCAGTACACGGGAATAATGATTGGGAAATCATGGTGGCCTAGCGAGCGTCACACACATCTGCGCTCTCCCCTTCACTCTATTTGGGAACTGGTTTCTTTTTTTCCCCCGTTTCGGAGGGCGCCAGCTGAAGTCCTGAACTCAGTTCCCAGCACGCGATCCAGATGAACCACTCGTAGAGTCAAATGCAATTGGTCCATCCTTTTTAAGAACGAACCATCCCCAGTGGGCTTGGCTGCGGCTTTATCTGATCTGGAACACTGGAACTGCAAAGACCAGCATATACAGCTCCTATTTCATCTCGAAGCAGGTCGATCAGAGTGAAGCCAACCACAAGAATGGCAAGCTTACGAGAAATGCCGGGAGAGATAAATAGTCAGCCTGTTCGTTTCGGCAGAAACGATCGTGGATTATTACTGCTGGCTGATTTGGTGTGAGAGAAAAATACTGTTCTGGCTTATAATCCACGATCGTTTACGACCAAGCGAACAGACTGAGTGTCCTGTTCTGTACTTGCGCTTATTATATCTTTCATCACTTCCGGGTCTCAGTGTAATCTTCTGCATTGATTTCAGTTGATTACTGTAACACCCTGTAAATCTTTTGCTAAAACATGTCAGGAGCATCATGGTTATGTGTTAATGCACGTGATATAGTGTGTAAATCAATTTCTGTAACTTGAAACGATCATCGGAAACGCGAAACGAAAGCTACATTTCATAGTCAAGCTATATCACTTAGGGTTTTAAATCAATTTTTATTAAGCGAAAACACTATAGAATGTATATACGGAATTTTAGTAGAGTTAGAAGTATGAACTTTGTAGATGGCGATGAAATAACTGCGGTCGAGAAAGGAATTCACGAGCTAGCATACTTAATAGCTAGAAAATCGAATTTGACGCGAACCCGATCAAGACAGTCGATTCCGTAAGTTTGAAAAGGGTTTGACGAGGCCAAGTTTGGCAATTTTTGTAGAAGAATTAGATTAATTAGTGGTATGGTTTTATGACTGGTTTTGATAGCCTAACATGCCATCTCGAGTATAGAATAGGTGGTTTAGCAATTGAAGCATCGAATTAGGTTTTTTGAACGCTTTAAAAAGCGTGCATGGCATGTTTTGGGCCGAGTTCCTAGCGTTGACGCGGTCACCATGCTCCTGTGCCGTGGTCGGCGCGCCGGCCGTGCGCGCGCGCGTGTCTGGCCGCACCTGGCTGGTCCCGGTGGCCGGCTACCCGGGCGCGCAGTTGCTCCTCCCCACTGCGGCGTTGTGCGCTGCCGCTGACGTCGCTGCTGGCGCTCTTGTGGCTGCCCGCGTCCCTCCGGGATAGCTCTGCTCCGCCTGGCACCGTCGCGCAGGCTCCGCATCGCCGCTGCTGCGCCAGGCCATGTTGCACGAGCAGAGCACGTACACGCCCGCGCCGTGCACCGCCGCGCTCGGCGGGCTCGATGTCTGGTTGGTCCACTGTCGCCTGGCCGCCTGCCTCGTCTGGCCATCGCCGTGTCGCAGCATTGCGTCACGTTTGCCTGTGCCACTGAGCCACCGCTTTCCCATCACTGCTGTGCCGCGTTGTCACCGTCGCGTCTGCCTATGCTCTGCGTCGCTGCCGTCTCGATTTAGTGCACGTGGCCGTGCCGAGGCCACCGCTTGTCGTTAGCCATTAATGGCGCCACGGCCGTGCTACTGCGCTGCCACCGCCCGCACACGGTCATGCCCCCTCTCCTGGCTGTGCTGGCTCGCAATGATTGCTCGGGTGCGATCATCATGTCTCGCCAAGGCTCGGGCAAGCAGTCGGACCCCATTCCTTTCTTTTCTCCTCCCTCCTCTACTGCCGGTCCGGCCAGACCACGCCACCAATTCGGCATGGATAGGTCGTGTCCATTCAATTCAGCGCGCTTCTGACTCCGTCTTCAAGTCAGCGGCCGACTGACCCCGCACCGTGTCACATCGTGCCTTGGCAAGCTTCAATTTGGAGCCGGCGTCCACCGTTGCGCCATTAAAGGCTTAGACGCCGTTGCTGTGGGCACTACCCGTTTGGTCGTCCTAAGCCCAATTGGATGCAGCCCCAGCCTCGCCTCGTAGTCCTTCACCTCATGCGTACCCCATTTGCACTGCTACTGCCTGCCCAGCGCCGCTGACGCGGTCGCGCCACGCCGTCTGTCGTGGACCTTGCCGTGCGCGCGTGGCCAGACTCACCCGGTCCATCCACGGTCAAGCCACCAAGTCAAGAAGGTTCT